ACTGATTTGTTGAGATCTTCGCTATCCCAACTATGTCCAGTGTCTTCATCCATGACCTGCTATAACAAAATACCACAAACTGGGTTTTTCGAAATTTATTGTATGCATAAGGGCCTTGATAAATTGCCAAGGTTGGCCTTAAACTTGTGATCCTCCTGTCTCAGCCTCACTAGTTGCTGGGATTACAGGCATGTGCTGCCATAAGCAAAGGCATATATATATGAATTGTCATTACATTATTAACAGCATTCGATGATTGGAAACAATCTATATGTTTGTTAGTCGGGGCAAGTAACAAAGTATTACCAGCAGTAGGAATAAAGATGGGCTTACATTTCTCATATAACAAGTCTAGAAAACAGCTATAGCTGGCATTGGTTCAGTGTCAGACTCAACTGTGATTCTCCTGGCATTTCCTTCATGGTGACAAAATGGTGCCCTTTTACTCTACATATCAGTCACATTATAGTGTTCCAGGCAGGAAAGGCAAAGGAGTGGTGTATGTTTCCTTTATGAGGAAGGCAAGAGCTTTCCCAGAATGGGTATGGTGGCATACACTTGTAATCCCAGTGACACTGAAGGCTGAGGCAGGAGGACTGCAAGTTCAAAGCCAGCCTCAGCCATTTAGCGAGACCTTGTTTCAAAATAAAAAAGGATTGGGGATGTGGCTCAGTGGTTAAGCACCCCTGGATTTAATCCCTGGTACCAAAAGAAAAGCTTTCCCAGAATCCTCCTGGCAAACTTTTCTTTTGTATCATTGTCCCAGAGCCATGTTATGTGGGTACACCTGTGGCTGCCTGGGAGGGTGGAAAAGCAAGTATTAAGGGATCCCAGCCTCTCTAGCAGTAAGAGTAAAGAAATTGGAAATGGGGCTGGGGATAAAGCTCAGTTGGGAGAGTACTTGCCTCCCATGCACAAAGCCCTGGGTTTAATCCAGCACATCACACAAAAAAAAAAAAAAAGAGAGAGAGAAAAAAAAGAAATTGGAAATGGTTATTGAATTTGTCAACCGATGATTTCTACCATAGGGACTGATGAAACAATTTATGGTACAACTGAATAATAGGACATTCATGGCATTAAAAAGAATGAGAGGGGACTGTGGCTGTGGCTCAGTGGTAGAGTGCTTGCCTTGCATGTGTCAGGCACTGAGTTCGATCCTCAGCACCACATAAAAATAAAGATAATGTGTCCATCTATAACTAAAAAAATATTAAAAACAAAAAAGAATGAGAGGGATCTATGTGTATTACTAAGTACAATTTCTAAGATTCTTATAAAGTGAGAAAACAGGGTTAAAGTTCAGTGCATGTATTTAGCAGGCCTTTTGTTTCAGATGGGGAGAGCCGAAATGTGGCTCAGTGGTGGAGGTAAGGGTAGAGTAGAAGGAAGACTTATTTTTACCTGTACCATCTTGTGCTATTTGAAAAATTTTAAACTGTGTACATTGGAATCCTGCCTGTAATCCTGCACTCAATTCAAGATAAGTTCTAGTAACAGCTGTAGTTTACTTTAAATTTGGGAGTAAATACATAGAATTTATGTATATGTTCACAGAGGAACTATAATCCTATACATCCTCTTCTTTAATAGATCTTCACCTGTCATCTCCATAATGCTGTGTTCTCATTAAATTGCTCTTTCCTTCTCTCTGCTTAACTTCCCCCTTCTCAGTTCTCTAAGCCATACACTCTGACTTGGATTGCTTTCCTGGTGCACTACAGCCTTTGAGCTGGATTTCCTTTCTCTGGCCCGCTGCAACCTTGCTATCCCCAACCCCAGTGCAGTCTGCTAAGACCATCCACTTGCCTTTGCTGGACTAAGGTTGCCAGCATCATTGCTCCCCACCTTCTCTTTTTCCCTTCCTCTCTCCTCCCTCCCTCCCTTCCTTCCAGCTTTAGGAATTTCTGGCAGGCAGAGAGGGGGTAGAGGATCAAGGGGTATTTTGTCAGGAAAAGCAAACCCAGTGCCAACAAGGTGGGCCTAGCACTTAGGAGAATTCTTAGATTTTTTAGTGCCTTCCATGTGCAAGCATTGTGCTAAGTAGTTTGCACACATTTATTCCAATAGTACTGCAAAGAGGTTTCTTTGATAGAACAATGTACCCTTGGTTTGCCTGAATGGATCATGATATATGCCTGGCAAAATTTTCTGTCTCAGAAGGTTTAGATCAAAAATTGTATAATCATCCTAACTATCTCCATTTTATAAATGAGGATATTTAGGCTTAGAGAAGTAAATTACTCTGCCTAAGGTCATACAACTAGTAAATGATAGGGCTGAGATTCAAACCCTGGTCTGTTAAGATTCTGCTCTGTGTGCTTTCCAAAATTCGTAAGCCCTAACCCTCAATGGGACTTTATGTGGAGACAGGACCTGTGAAGAGGTGATAACAGTGAGGTAGTAATATGAGGTCACAATATGAAGGCCCTAAACTGACAGGGCTGGTGCCCTATATATAGGAAAGGAAGAGTCACCAGAGCTCTCACTCTCTGCTGTGTGCAGAAGGTGACTGCAAGTCAGGAAAAGAGACCACCACCAGCAACCAGATGGGCTGGTACCTTTATCTTGAACTGTGAGAAAAGAAATTTCTCACAATAACTACCACCTAATCTGTGGTATTTTGTTCTGGAAGCCCTAGCAGATGAAGACAGGCTCCAACATCCATGCCTTTCACTCAGCGTGCTACAGCTGGCTTCCTCACCCAGGGCCAGTGCAAGCCAGTGATGAGGGCTGGCCTAGACTTATCTTTCATTTGTGTTCCTTGGATTTAGGCCAAGAGTAGATCTGTTAACCTCTTCTTTGAAGTAAGCAACTTGTTGTCTTTCTCTGTATCAGAGTTAATCAGAAACCACTCTGTAATTTGGACAAGGGAACTTTAAAGATAATGGGACTATAGTAATAACAGGTTGGCTAATAAGAGGAAGGAAAGCTCTAAAGAATATAAAAAAAATAGCAGATGTAAGGAGCTGCCATGGCCCAGTTAAGACAGACCATCTAAGGAAGAGTGCCCTCTACACACTCTACACTCTGAAATCCAGACCCTGGTGGAGAGGGCATAGCTGTGGCCCACTCAATGGCAGGGAAGTGACTGTGGTACTGTGCTGGTGGAAATTGCTAGAAAATCGCCTTCTAGGCTAGAAAACTATCCTCCAGGATGCTGGAGAAAGCTGTTCGCAGAGAGGGTCTCTCTGGAAGCACTGTGCTATACAAACACATACAGGGGGTACTGGGGAAGCTACCTGCTGCCAGGTGCCATGGGTCCCTGTACACGGGAGAGGCTGTCCTCAGAAGTCTGGTATGGGGAAACCACAGAGGAAAATCTTCCTTCAGTGTCTCTCTCAGTACGTATCTGTCTTATTCACTGCAGTGTCCTTGCTTTGTATTCCCTAACACAAGCATATATGAACTAGGTGACAGAGACTTACTGAAACAGCTTGATATCCTTCCAGTAGGCAAAGGGATAAAAATTTTTAAAGAGTTTAGATCCATTTTTTAGAGTAGGCAAAAAGGATGAATGGGAGCTGAGAGACAATAAATCAATAACCAGTACATTTTCTCAAAGGGTATTAGGGCTATTACAGCTGAGATATAACTCAGTGATAGAGTGCTTGCCTACCATGCATCAGGCCCTGGGTTCAATCCCCAGCATGGCAAAAATAAAAATAAAAAAGTAAATTAAAAAAAAAAAACTATAATTTTCCTCAGCCAGATTTCCCAGACCAACGCAAGGAAGGGGACTGAAAAACAGTACATCTTGAAATTAGAGGGTAGTGTATCTAGGATGAGGGTGAGGTGTGAGTTTTTGTTTGTTTGTTTGTTTTTTGGTGTTTTTTTTTTTTTTTTTTTGGTTTTGGTACTGGGGATAAAACCCAGGGACATTTAAACACTGAACTGCATCTCCAATCCTTTTTAATTTTTAATTTTGAGACAGGGTCTTGCTAAGTTGCTTAGGGCCTCACTAAATTGCTTAGGCTGGCCTTTAACTTGCCATCCTTCTGCCTCAGTTTCCCAAGTCACTGGGATTGCAGGCAAGCACCACCATGCCCTGCAGGTGTCTGAGTTTTTAATAAGCTCTCCAAACAGTTCTGTAGAAGAGAGATCTTTTTTAAAAAAACTACTTAGACTGAACCTCTGGCAGGGAATATCAAAGGACAAAGTGACCCTACTGCTGTGCCTAGATGTGTTTGTGTGTGTGTTTGGAGTTCCAGGACGGCTTATTTCTCTGTAAGTGCCCTAAAGCACTCCTACCTTCATCTGCCTCCACCTCATGGAAGTCCTCCTCATGTCTGTTACTGCATTTCTCCATCTTTCTGAGCACACTTGCCTTAGTCTTTATCTCTGCCTGTACATTCTTATCCTCCTGCTGTTCTGCCTTTGCCTCTCTCCCTCCCAATTTGCCCATCTTTGCTCAGTATTACCTTCTTCCAGAGCCTCCCTTCTTTAAGAACATCCCCCACCCAGCTCTTTCTGAATTAAGGACCCTTTCCCTTCTGCTAGGACACAGATCCTGTAACACTGCATTATCATCTCGGCCTGCTAGGCTAGGTCTTTACCATCACTGCATCTAGGATGATGGCTGGCACAGTGCTGGCCCCTGGCAGGCTCTCAGGACGTGTCTGTCTTATTCACTGCAGTGTCCTTGCTTTGTGTTCCCTAACACAAGCATATATGAAGTAGGCGACCTAAAAATGGCCTACAATAGATGGAGGCTAGCGCTGCGTCAGTCTCACCCCTTTTTTTCAAACGTGGCAGGTGGCCCAAGATCCTCACTCGCCGGAAGAAGGCGGCACCGCAGGCTGACTGCCGGCCTCTCCCAGCCCTCCGGGCGGGAGGGGCGTGGTTTAGCCCGAGCCCAGCCCAGAGGGCGGAGCCTACCCCGCAGTCGGGCCGGGGAAGGGAGGGGTCTAAATCGAGGCCAGCCCAGGGGCGGGGCCTAGCCGATGGCCGGACCCCCCGAGGGGTGGGGTCTCCACGCACGCACTCCCGGAAGCGAAGCCGAGCCCGCCCTCCAGTCCCGAAGAGGCGTTGCCTTTGTCGCCGCTCCCGCTGCAGCCACCGCCACCGCCGCCGCCACCTCGGACGCAGTCGCTGCCGGTTCAGTCATGCCGGTAAGTGGCCGCGCACCTCCCGCGGTCCTCGGCCTGCGCCTCGGTGCCCCGCCACTTGACCAGATGTTGCTTTTAAGGGACTCAAGCCGAGACGGGAGCTACTATTGTCCCACTGCTTACCCCTCCCCACTCACCCTTTGGCTTTTGCGACCCTCCAGAAAATAGGATCCGAAGGAAGTTTAGAAGCCAGGCTTCGCGAAGACTCCAGGACTTACCAGCCCAAACCTTCCCTGCATATGTGGGGAAACAGACCCGGAGAGTGGGCAGAGAGCCGGAACGGGGACCTAGTTTCTGCGCCTTCCCCCTGGGGATCCCTTGCTATTGGAGCTGAACCGATAGAGCGGTGGGGTGGCGCTGAGCAAATGGGTGGCCCCGGCTGTTTCCTCCTGGACAGCGCTGTTTTTCAGAGGTTCATGTTTTTCTTCTCTTCCCCTGCCCTTTCCGGCCTACTTCCAGGTCATTAAATGAACAGGGTAACACTAAATGAAGAGGGTGTTGTTTTTTACAAAAAGAAAAAAAAAAAAAAGCCCAGTAACTTGTTTAAGCTCCTGGCAGGAGTTAGGTAGAACCATGCTTTAAGTCCCTTATCTCAGGCTCCCCTTCTCTCCTGGCCACACCACACCGCCTGGAAAATGCTGGGCAAAAGCTGTCATACCGGCTTGGATCCCAGCTGCATTCCTGAGATGCTGGTTGGAGTAATGAAGTGTTTAGCAATTTCCTCCAGGGTGCTAAGTTCATAAGTCTGTGACACGAAGGTACCCGGAGATATCCCACAGTTGTCCCGTGTCCTAGCAGCCTATCTTTTGGGAGTTGACAGGTGAGCCTGAGGTTGCTGAGCAAAGTCTTAAACATATCAGGTATCATTTGGTGTTCCCAGTTACCTTGAGACAAATCCTTACAAAATTTACACAAAGTATGGACAAAGCCTTACCAGTTTGGCAAGTCCTCCTGTGGCCCAGTTAGAGGAGAGCCTTAATCACCCATGAACTGAAAGAGCAGAGGCCCCAGGGTTTTTGTGGAGGCTAGCAGTGAGGGAAAGGTGGGTTGAGGAAAACTGTATTTTGTTTCCACTTCTGGGGATTTTGAGCAGATGGTTGGACTAAGGAGGGCACTTGGCACCATATTCCAAGATGAACAACTGAAGGAAGGAGGGGATTAGTCAAGGATGATGTGATACCTGAGAGGGTTCTTAGCAAAAGTTGATAGCACGGGGCCTAGAAAATCTGTGCCCTGGCTTGCCAACTGAGTGATCTCAAGCAAGTTGCTTCCTCTTTCTATTCCTTGATTTTTTCATTTGTAAAATAGGGGTTAAACTGACTTCACAACTGGGTTTGGTGGTATACCCCAGTAATCCCAGTGTTTTGGGAGTCTGAGGCAGGAGGGTTGTAAGTTCAAGGCCAGCTTTAGCAATTTAGCAAGACCCTCAACAACTTAGCAAGATCCGGTCTCAAAATAAAAAAAAGGACCAGGGGAATATAGCTCATGTCTTGAGTTTAATCCTTGGTGAAAAAAAAAAAAAAAAGAAAAAGTAAGCTGTGGAATTCTTTAATGGACTCTCAGAACTGGAAGTCCCCTCCTAGAAAAGGAATCTTTTTCACATATTTAGGACATTTTGTCCTTGAAAACCCTGGTAGTTGGGAGTATACTAATATTTGAGTGCCCACTATACGCCAGGCATTGTTCTGAATACTTTACATGCTTGACCTTGTTTATTCCTCACAATAGTCCCTCAAGGCAGGTACTACTATTATCTCTTATAGCTCAGGAAACTGAGGTTGCGCTTAGGCCTGGACTGGTCAGTATCCAAAAGTCAGCTCCTAACTGCTGAGACCCATTTTATTTTTATATTTATTTATTTATTTATTTTAAGAGAGAGAGAGAAATTTTTTTTAATATTTTTTAGTTTTCGGTGGACACACATCTTTATTATATTTTTATGTGGTGCTGAGGTTCAAACCCAGCACCCCGCACATACCAGGCGAGCGCGCTACTGCTTGAGCCACATCCCCAGCCCAAGACCCATTTTAAATGGGGGTGAAATCTGCCTATCTACAGTTCTACCCAACTCTTATGTAGGTCCAACTTGTCCTGGACCTACATAAGAGTTGTTATACCGGGCTTGGTGGCACATGCATTTAATCCTAACAACTTGGGAGGCTGAGGAAGAAGGATGGCAAGTACAAGATCAGCTTGGGCAATTTAGGGAGACCCTATCTTGAAAAAACTAAAAAAAGGGCTGGTGTTGCAGCTTAGTGGTGGAATACCCTGGGTTTAATTCCACCACACACACAAAAAAATTAATTTTTCTTGTGTATTAGATGTCAATGACTATGCTATATATTTTATTGTGTTTTCCAGTTAATACTAACAGTAGTCCAATAAGGTCAGTTTTTCTTGTTTGTTTGGTATTGGGAATTGAACCCAGGCCACTGAACTGCATCCCCAGCCTTTCTTGGGGTGGGTATTGGGGATTGAACTCAGGGGCACTCAACCACTGAGCAACATCGCCAGCCCTATTTTGAATTTTATTTAGACAGGGTCTCACTGAGTTGCTTAGCACCTCGCTTTTGCTGAGGCTGGCTTTGAACTTGTGATTCTCCTCTCTCAGCCTCCAGAGCCACTGGAATTATAGGCATGTGCCACCATGCCTGGTGATCCTCAGACTTTTTTAAAGTCGTTTTTTTTTATTTTAGAGACAAGGTCTTACTAAACTGGCTTTGAACTTGTGATCCTCTGCATCAGCCTCCTGAGTCACTGGGATTAGAGGCATGTACATGCCACAATGCTTGACTGAATTTACTTACTTTTTATTTTTATTTATTTTTTGGTATCAAGTATTGAACCCAGGGGCGCATAACTACTGAGGCACATCCCCAGCCATTTTTTTATTTTTTATTTTGAGACAAAGTCTCACTAAGTAGCTAAGGGCCTAGCTAAATTGCTGAGGCTGGCTTTGAACTTGCAATCCTCCTGCCTCAGCCTCCCAAACTGCTGATATTACAGGCATGCACACTGCGCCTAGAGAATTTATTTACTTTTTAAAGGACCTGTTTTGTAAGTGACAAGGCAAAAGGCCCTGAAAAGTTGGAACTGCCCAGAGTCAAGCATCTGCTGGTGCAGTGGGTCCTTGACATTTTCCTATAAAGAATGGATTACTTGCCAAGCTTGGTGATGCGCGTCTGTAATCTCAGTGGTTTGGAGGCTGAGTCAGGAGGATCAAGAGTTCAAAGCCAGCCTCAGCAAAAGTGAGGCACTAATTAACTCAGTGAGACCCTATTTCTAAATAAAAATACAAAACAGGGATGGGGATGTGGCTCAGTGGTCAAGTGCCCCTGAGTTCAATCTCTGGTGCAAAAAAAAAAAAAGAATGGATTACTCTATCCATTAAGCCGACTTTCTGTTACCCTCAAATTTAGTTTTGCAATTCAAGGGTGGAACAGTAGAGCACTGAACTGTAATGCTTGCTGTCCAGAAGCAAGCCAAAAGCCACCTCCTGTGGCTTCTGACCTTTGCTTTTCTGACCTTTGAAAGGAAACCTGCTCCCTGTGGTCAGCAGCAGAAAGCTTCAGATATCTGGTGACTTTAGATCATAGGGCAACAGAAAATTGTGCTTTTTAACAATGTGTTCCCATTTTAGAGATTTGAGGTGGGTGGCGGTGCACTTTGCTTTTCTAGAACCAACAAAATTTCCCTGGGTTCATATCCTGACCTCAATGATTATTTACCCAAGACTGGGCACCTTAGTGAAACCTTGGAAACTTGACTTTCCTCTTGAGTAAAATTATTTGAATAGCTCCCTTTCAGGCTAGAAAGATACTGTATAAAGAGAATTGACATATAGTAGGCATTCAAGAGATTTAGCTCTTACATTAATCTTGGAAATTCTTAAAAGCTTGAGCTCAGTATACAGCTGCAAACCACGGATGATTTTTGATTCTCTTGGTTATACTGGATCAAGACTCAGCAAACCTTTTCTTAAAGGGCTAGCTAGTATGTACTTTAGGCTTTACAAACAATATGATCTCTGTTACAGTGACTAAACTCTGCTGTTCTAGTGCAAAACTAAACAAACAAGTTTGGCTGTGTTCCACAAAAACTTTTATTTGTAAAATCAAATCACAAGCAGGTTGCCTATCCATGTTCTTGAGCATCATTCAGACTGTAATATGGATAGTGACCTGGGTGTCTTATTAAAATGAGGACTTTGATTTAGGAGGTCTGGTGTGGGACATAAGAGTCTGCATTTCTGACAAGCTTTCAGATGATGCTGATCCTGTTGGTCTGAGGACCATACTTTAAACATAAGATTTTGGAATATCCATTATAACCTTTCCAGAACTTGTTGTTGAATAGTCGTGAAACAAACTGAAGGAATCAGAATATGTTTAACTAGAAGAAGAGAAAAACTGACCATTTTCTTTAAAGTAGGTTCCATAGCTTTGGCCTCAGTGAGGGGTAGTGGTGTACTGGTCATGAAGGTAAAAGAATCCAGTTCTGGAAAATCAAGCTGCTTAACTCTTGGAGTCAGTATCCTCCGTGGACCATGAGGATGATCTAGATGCAAATATGTTTAGAGACTTTTCCAATTTCCTCAGGTGGGGAGTTTTGCCTCCATGTCTATCCCCAGAAGGTTAATAATGGAGAGTCCCACCCCAGATCTACCCAGCCAGTTGAGGCAGGTGCCTGCAGAGGTATACTTTCCACAAGTTCCCCAAGTGATTCTTACATTGAAGTTGAGAAAATTGAGTGGGCTAATACCCTTTTGGTATAGAAAAGAGAACTGGAGCCATGTGGGGCAGGGATTGCAGGATATATTGCTATATTCAGAATTCCAATTGAGTTACAAATTGAGCATCCCCAAAGGTGTGGTGGCCCATGCATGTAATCCTAGTGACTCTGAAGGCTGAGATACAAGGATTGCAAGTTTGAGGCCAGCTTCAGCTACTTAATGTGGCCCTAAACAATTTAGTGAGACCCTGTCTCATAATAAAAAATTAAAAGAGCTGGGGATGTAACTGAGTGGTAAAGGTTCAACCCCCAATACCAAAACAAAACAAAACAACCAAAAAACCAAGTTGAGCAAACCTTGTCAGAAAATCTGAAGTCCAAAATGCTCCAAAACCCAAAATTTTTGAGTGATGATATGCCACAAGTGGAAAATTCCACACCTGAGTTTACGTGTAGGTCACAGTCATAACACAGTCTAAAAATATTGCATAAGATTATATTCAGCCGGGCTGGGGATGTGGCTCAAGTGGTAGCGCGCTCGCCTGGCATGCGTGTGGCCCAGGTTTGATCCCCAGCACCACATACAAACAAAGATGTTGTGTCTGCTGAGAACTAAAAAATAAATATTAAAAAAATTCTCTCTCTTTAAAAAAAAAGATTATATTCAGCCTATGTGTACAAAATATAATGACATATAAATAGATTTTGTGTTTAGACTTGTGTTCATCCCCAAGATATCTCATTATATGTATGCAAATATTCCAGAATCTGAAAAAAAATCAGAAATCTAAAACACTTTGGGTCCCAAGCATTTCAGATACTTGACCTGTAGTAGATTTGAAATATTTTGATATGCGTCATGAAAAAGGTAAACGTTGGTTTTGTTTATTTGTTTGCTAAGCTGGAGATCCAACCCAGGGCCTTGAGTATGCTATGTAAGTGTTTTACCACTGAGCTACATCCCAACCCTAGACATTGTTTTATTTTGGTGCTGGAGATTGAACTCAGGGGCACTTAACCATTGAGGCACATCCCCAGCCTGTTTTTTTATTTTTTTATTCTGAGTCAGGGACTTGCTAAGTTGCTTAGGGCCTCACTAAATTGCTGAGGCTGGCTTTAAACTTTAGATCTTCCTGCCTCAGTCTCCTGAGCCACTGACATTATAGGCACACGCCACTGTGACCAACCTAGATGATGTTTTTTGAAGGGAAAGAGAAGAGAGAAATGGAAGGAATTATTTATAATAATTTAATAATTAACATTTTTAAAATAAAGGAACCCAGTACTGGGCTCTAATCTCTAGATTACTAATGGATTAGTTACCTACTGCTCTTTATTATTTATCCCCAAACATGTTTTGGGTAGTTACGTGGTTTTAAGAGTCAGGAATCTGGGAGCAGCTTAGCTGAGTGGTTCAAGTGCAAGGTCTCTAATGAAAGTGCATTGAAGATGTTGTCTGAGGCAGCAGTCATCTGAAGGCTCGACTGGTGCTGAAGAATCTACTTCCAGGATGGTGCACTCACTTTGTAGCTAGAGGATTCAGTTTCTCACCTTGTAGACCTCTATTTGCTTGAGTGCCCTTATAATGTGACAACTAGCTTTTTCTAGAATGAGCAATCCCAGAAACAGCAGGGCAGAAGCTACAGTGTCTTTTTATGGCATTGTGATAGGCTCAGAAGTCGTATAATATTGCTTCAGCCATATTCTATTTGACACACAGTCCAACCCAAGATGTTGTGAAATGGGACTGCTCAAGGGGATAAATACCAGGAGTCAGAGAAGATTGAGGCCATGTTGGATGTTAGCTACCATGATTAAAATCCTCTGTTCATCCCATGCACTTACCTGGAGAGAACTGTTATCTATCTGTGTTTGGAAACCAAGCCATAGAGGAGTTAGGTAACTTACTTTTGGCCATAGAACTAGAAGTATCAAAGCTAGTATCTGAAGCCAGAACTGTCTGATTCCAGATGTTCTCATTTCTAGAGATTTTAAAGTAAGTGTTGGTATAAATAATACTTATCCGAAAGCAAAGGACCCAGAAGTTGTCAACCAGCCATGTCAGTCATCCATTTACTCAACAAAATGCATTAAGCACCTGCTCTGTGCCAGGTACTGTTTCAGATATTGTGATTGCAACAGTGTGAACAAAACCCCTATCTCCTGAGAACCTGCCTTTCGACATTGATCACCACCTATCAGTATCACCTGGAATGCTCACTAGACATAACAGATGTCCCAGCCCAGGCCTTCTGATTAGAACCTGTGGTTCTTGTAAACTCCCAGTTGACTCAAATACAGAAAACAATTTTCTGTGGCATAAATGGGCCCATTACTGAGTACGGGGGCACATCCATGCCAGAGTTCTTGATGATCTGGACAAAGTCCACAGCTAATTAATTGAAGGTAGAACTGTGAAAAAAAATTTTTTTTTTTTTTTTAAAAAACTAGCTTTCCAGGTGATCCTATTCATGTGTACCAGACCCTGCTAGAGGATTTATGGGGACTATTTCATTTAGTACAACCTGTGACATGTAGAAACCCTTATTCCACTTTACAGTTGGAGAGACTGGGCCTCAGAAACTGGTTCCCAAGGAGCCCCATACCACCCAGGCCTTGCCCAACCTCTGCACTCTGTTGGGCCCTGAGTAGCCTGCCTGCTGTTACAGAGTGTAGGTCCCTGCAGGGCTTGACTCATTGTCCCCATTTGTTTCAGAAGCACGAGTTCTCTGTGGACATGACCTGTGAAGGATGCGCTGAAGCTGTCTCCCGAGTCCTCAACAAGCTGGGCGGTGAGTGAGTCGCCGAGAATTGAGGGTGGGATGGAGGGACACAACTGAGGTCATGTTTGGATGCACATTGAGCAGGAGAGGCTTTAATTTAAGCTGATGATAACAGTAAAACAAAATATATTGGGTACTTTTCATTTACTGAGTACTTCACTTAATAGCTTCTGTGGATCTCATCATTGAATCCTTTCTACAGCCATTTCCTGTAACTTTTTTGATTTGAAGTAGGAGGGAACTGAAGTTCAGAGAAGTTCAGTAACTTGGCTGGAATCAGAGACAGTGTCAGAGCTGGGATTTTGCCCCACAGTCCAGCTCTAGAGCCCTGGCATTGTTGGTTAATATGTTGGTGATCTCCATTGTGACAAGTTTTGCTGTATGACACATTTCAGTGTCATTTTCCATTAAGACTTTTAAAATGGTAACAAGTTTAGAAATTAATTTTGAACCTGTCATGTATAACTCTTAATGTATCTCCTTTGGACATGCTTAGAAAATCATTATTCTCCTTTAGCACCCCACTTCACAACTGGGGAAACTGAGGTCCAGAGAAGATTGAGAGCTGGCCCTAAGGTTCAATGAGGCAGTGACCAAGTTGCCATCAGAGGTCTGGTAATCTCGGGCTCAGCCAGTCTTCTAAGATTTTCTTTTTTCATCTTAATTAACTAATTTGTTGATTTATCTATCTATTTTGCAGTACTGGAATTGAACCCAGGGCTGCTCTACCACTGAGCTGCATCTCCAACCCCCTTCCTCCTTTTTTGAGATAGGATCTCACTATGTTGCCAAAGCAATTGAACTTGCAATTCTCCTACCTTAGCCTCTTAGTAGCTGAAATTATAAGTGTATACCACAGTGCCAGGCTAGAATTTTATTTTTTAAAACCCTAAATAATGATAATATTCAATTTTCCAGTTGCTTCCATGTGGATGTGATCTCATTAGCAGTCCTCTGAGTTGTACTTTCCTTCAGTGGAATGGGGGTGTTGATATCAGTGCCAGGAGGGGAAGTGACTTGCCCAGAGGTCCCAGAGCAAGTTAGTGGCTGGCTTCAAGCTCTGTAACCTGGGATCCTAATCTGAAAAAATCCAAAACAGTGAAAAGAACTTGGCTGGGGATTTGCCACATGACTATTAGCTCTTCTCCCTGGGGCCTGGGTGTCCCTGCTGTATTATGGAACTCCCCCCTTTTGTTTAATTTAAATAACAAGTATGTGGCTTAGGGACTGTGCCTGTTTTAGGTTGTCCAATACTACATATGGTCCTTACCCGTCATTGGATGGTCTGACCTCAAATCGTCAGCCTCCTGTCTTAGGTTGGAACCATTGTAATTGGATCTTACCCGTCTTTGACTAGCGGCCCAACACACTCAGCCACACTTGTGGATAACGACCATAGTGGTTTTTACACAAACACCATAAATAATCTGCTACAAGCAGAAGGGGAGGATACAAAATGCCACCAAACCAATTGATGGCTCCAAGTAAGAAGCCCTTGGAAAAATCGTACCACAGATGACACTATCAGCAAAGATACCCTGGTACTACCACAATTCGTTGCATCACCAGATAGTTCACAATGCATGTAAGTGACACATAGTCCAGGTAAATCACAGTCCAGATAAGTTCAAAGCCACTACCGGCTGGAAAGTCCCCGCTCGCATTGCGACGCCACTTCACGCAACCTCCAGTAATGAAAAGTATTTAGTAGTAGCCTTTTGCTGCAATTTTTTTCCTGATAGTCCTTCCTCCTCTGAACCTTCTTCCTCTTTCTGACTAGAGTTCCTGGGCTTTTGTCAACGTATGCCCTAACTGTTCTTGGTTCCACTGGGGTGCCTCCTTCCCTTAGAATTTACTTAACACCCCTTCCATGTTTTCGTAACAAAGACAATACAACACACCAAGACAAAACAAGATAAAAACATACTGTATCAATCCTCTCCATTTTCTCGAAATGGCCATTCTTCTTCTCGCCTTATCTGCCTAGGGACAGCAGATTTGCTCCCGTCCTATCTAGGGATGGGCAGCTTTTCCTTGTCACTTACCCTGAGCGTCCCGGGGCTCCCACCATCTGCTGCAGTCTGGCTGGGCAAAATAACCGGGGGTGGGGGGGGGGGGGGGGGTGGGGGCGGCGAGTGACAAGGAACTTGTGAAGGTTGATACAGGGGGAGCCGCTTTATTGTCGGACAGCAGAGGTATTTATACCTAAATCATTATACACAGCTTGTTTCAATTAACATCATCCGGATGCATCAATCAGCCATCAAGGAATCCTCATCATCTTAATTACACACAGCTTAACTCAATTTACATAAACTAGATACAGCAGTCAGTCATTAAGGAATCCCCATTATCTTAATGGCTGGCGTTACTTCACAAACCACTCCCTCTGACAAAATGCCAGGCGCCATCTTGACTTGTTTACGAACCCTAACATGGAACCAGCAGCCTACATCAGTTTTTGCTCTGGGTACTTTAAAAATGAAACTGCAAGCTGGGTGCAATGCTGCACACCTGTAATCCCAGCGATTCCAGACTGAGGCAGAGGATCACAAGTTCAAAGTCAGCCTCAGCAATTTAGCAAGACTCTAAGCAATTTAGCAAGGTCCTGTCTCAAAATAAAAACAATAAAAAGGATGGTGACTTAGCTCAGTGGCTGAACACCCTTGGGTTCAATCCCCACTACCAAATAAAAATGAAACTGTAAGCTGGAGTGGTGGCATATACCAGTAATCCATCAACTTGGGAGGCTGAGGCAGGAGGATCACAAGTTCAAATTCAGCCTATGCAACTTAGTAAGACCCTGTTTCAAAATTTTAAAAAAGGGCTTGGGATGTAGCTCAGGGGTAGAATGCCCTGGGTTTAATTCCCAGTACTGGGGGAAAAATGAAGAAGAAAAAGAAAGAAACTACATGGGATTCCCTCCTATATGCAATAGCATGCTGTGGAGCAAGTCATGGGAGGGAGCGGGCTTTCTTTCTTGACAGCTCAGAGACATCTGCCCCAGAGCCTTGGCTTCCTGGAACACTGTTTGAAATCCACAGTGTTCATTAATCCCAGGCTTTCCTTCAGCTCTGTGATACCACCAAAATATTTATTCCAAAGATGAAGGGGAGACCATTCTGAACCAAAAAACAAAGATCCAGAGTGTGGCAAGTACACATAGCACTTTTTCCTTCCTGGGCATCCTTTATGTACAGACTTAGATTATGGCTAAACTCTGTACCCTGCCCTTCAGGCCTTTTGACTGGTGCCTGAGGATGAGCCCTGGTAGGTTTCTTTCCATCTTTCATTACAATGCTTATAGGATAGCATCTTGAGAAGACTCAAGAGAGTTTTCTGAATTGCTTAGGGCCCTAGAAGAGTAATCCTGGACCTGACAAGTCACAGACTAAAGGCATAGTTGAGGCTGAAAGCGCATCAGGGCTGGTCAATTCCAACCCCTTCATTTACAGATGGGGAAGCTGAGGCCTATAATGGGTGGGACCTGATATGGTCACCAAGCAAGTGAATGGTGATGCCAGGCCTAGAACCTACGAAGGGCATTTCCTGTGCATTTCTTTTGTCAAAATAAGACCTTCTAGGTCCTCCTATGTGCTCTTGGGGCTTTAAATTGGCCCAGCCTTTTAGAAGGGTTGTTTTTAATTTTTTTTTGTTATTGGGGGTTAGTGCTGGGATTGAACAAGGAAGAGAATTTGTTAACATTCAACACTGCCAATCTATTGACTCACCATTTCTAGTCTCTGAATTCATGGCATGAAAATATTCTCATAAGTTTGCTAAGATATGTTCAGATGGATTTACTATAACAATATTGTGATAGCAGTGAAAAAAGCAGACATAACCTCAGTGTCCTTCAACCAGGGCACTGAGTAGTATAAAGAATGTCCACACTATGGAAAGACTGTGTAGCTGTTTTAAAAAGAAAAAAAAAGAAGAATGAGGAACTGGGGGTATAGCTCAGTGGTAGAGTACATACTTAGCATGCTCAAGGCCTTAGGTTTGAATTCCCAGCACCACATTTTTTTGGTACCAGGGATTGAACTCGGGGTGCTCTACCACTGAACCACATCCCCACCCCTATTTTGTATTTTATTTAGAGAGAGGGTCTCACTGAGTTGCCTAGTGCCTCATTGTTGCTGAGGCTGGCTTTGAACTCGCAATCCTCTCACCTCAGCCTCCCGAACTGCTGGAATTACAGGTGTGCGCCACCATACCAGCCTCCAGCACCACATTTTAAGCAATTAATTAAAGGTCTGGGGATATAACTCAGTTGGTAGAGTGCTTGCCTTGCATGCACAAGGCCCTGGGTTCGATGCCCAGCACATACACACAAAAAAAATAATAAAAAAATTAGAATGAAGCCAAGTGCAGTGGTGCATGCCTGTAATCCCAGCAGCTCAGGAAGCTGAGGCAAGAGGATCATAAGTTTAAAGCCAGCCTTAGCAACTTAGTGATACCCTGTTTCAAAATAAAAATAAGATAAAAAGAGCAAGGCTTGTAATTCAGTGGTAAGGTGCCCCTGGTACTCCCAAAAAATGGGAAAAAGGAAAGAAAGAAAGAAAGAATGAATAACTAAATAAATAAAATATCTATATTTACATTTTTTATTTAAAAAAAAAGTCTTAAGCACTTGTCTAGAGCAGGGATTGAAAAATACAGACTGTGGCTCAAATCTATCCCCCTTCCTGTTTTGCAGTGGAGAATGTTATTAAATTTTTAAAGTACAGTCAAGTACACAGACAAATATGTAAGTCTACATGTGGCCCACAATACCTAAAACATTTATATCTCTGCCCCTGTACAGTAAAGGAGTAAAGGTTTGCCTGTCCCTGGTCTTGAGGAAAGCAAAAGGTGATTTTGAGTAATAATTCAGGAACCTAAAATCTTTCTTGCTGTAACTGGGAGTGTCTTCCTTTCCCCACACCCCGTTTCCTCTTCCTGCAGGGGTTGATTTTAACATTGATCTGCCGAACAAGAAGGTTTGCATTGAATCTGAGCACAGCATGGACACTCTGCTGGCGACGCTGAATAAAACCGGAAAGGCTGTTTCCTACATCGGCCCCAAGTAACACAGGCTGACAGTGTGGACTGAAGAGGGCAGGTGAGTAAGGTTCCAGCACTTATTGAACAGACCTGCTCCTCACACTCTGGTCAGGGGTAATACAAGTTGAACATACCTTATTCAAAATGACTGGTATCAGAATTGTTTCAGAATTCAAAGTTTCCCGGTTTTAGAATATTTGCATAGGCTTTATTTTAGCATTTCTAATCAGAAAAATCTGAGATCCGAAACCTTTTTGAGAATCATGTTGGCACTCAAAAAATTCCTATTCTGGAGCATTTTGGAACTCAGATTTTCAGATTAGGAATGCTCAACCTATACCTTGGCCTTAGAGCTTGCATGGGGCAGGAGAGCGCCCTGGTTTATTTTTAACCCACTGTCTACTTTCTTTGGAATGGTTCCATATATTTCGTTTTTGTCTAATACAATTTACAAGTTTTGGGGATTCCCCACAGCCCCTTGTGAATAGGCAGATTTCTTTATTAGCACCCTTTTAGGATTTAAGGAGTATATTTCATGGTCAGCAGGGTTCAAGTTTGGAGTGCATGACCTTTGCCCAGACTGGTGCAAAAAGAGTAGCTCATCTAAGCTGGATCTTCCCTTTGGTTTTACATAACTCAGGGAGGCAGTAAGTGGCGATGTTGCAGCTCTCTTCACTCTGAAACTGGGGCAGCCTTTGCTCATCAATCTAACATTCCTTCCCATTGTGCCCAGCCAGTCTTAGCAGAGTACTCCTGGCTGTCACTGACCATGTAGTGCATTTGATATATGAATAACAGTGGCTCCCTGATATGGTTCAGTGTCCTCACTGTAATTGAGAAAAATGAGCCCTGGAGAAGGAAGTTACTCAACCAGAGCCTTGCAGATGAGTGACAAAGGCAGAAAAGTCCAGTATCCTGAATCAGAGTTCTATAATGACTGTTATGGTAGCATTAACCCTCCAAATAGGTCCAGGGAGAGCTTCTCAGGCAGAGACCAGCTACTATCAACTGACAATTCGTGAGGGCCCCCCTGTGAGTATAGTCTACTTCCTTCCTAAAGGTGAACATTTGGAACCTAAGGCATGTTCCATTTATATGGTGACCTCACACGCAAGTCAAGAGATTTCAGATGCATCCATTTTCCTTATGTCATTTTTGTCCATGTCCATATAACCCATGTTCAGGAATGAGTATAGGATGAATAGTCAGGAGTCTGACATTCAAATTCCAGCTCTGCCCTCATATTTAACACTGACTTTAGGAACTTTTTTTTTTTCCCCAGTACTAGGGATTGAACCCAGGGGTGCTATATCAGTGAGCTACATACTCAATCCTTTGTATTTTTTATTTTGAGAAAGGGTCTTGCTAAGTTGCTGAGGCTGGCTTTGAGCTTATAATCCTCCTGCCTCCTCAGCTTCCTATGTAGCTGGGATTGTAAGCATGCACCACCACGCCTGGCTGACTTTTTGAACTTTTTATATACTTGACATTGGGTACTACTATCTGTAAAATGGGGCTAGAGCCTCCACCCTGCTTTTCTGCCTTGCAGGTTACTGTGCAATCCCTCTATGAAGGACTTCTATATAGGAGTAAAACACTAGCAGTTTCCCCATTCTGAGAAACACTGTTCTCACAGTTCCTTCATCCCTAGGCGCTTGTGGGGAGAATGAAGGGGGTGTTCAGGACTCTTCCATGTCTCCCAAAAGCCCTATATCATATTGGGCCTCCAAGTAAGATTGTATTTGCTCTATGTGCTCTGTGACATGAAGAAATGGAGGAAAGGTTGGGGGGAACCTCTTGCTCTTTCTGAGCTGTCTGTATACATGGGGAAGCCCAACACAGACACCTTGGATTGAAAACCTGGCATGGGCATGCAAGCATTTTTGACTAAAAAAGTAGTGCCTGCTATTTATAAATCATGTGTAGATTAATGTGAGTTTTTCTCATAGTAGCTTTTTTTTAATTGAAGTAAAATTGACATGATATATAATTAACCATTTTAAAGTGTGCCATTCAGTGCATTTTTTTTCTCCTTTTACAATCTACAACCATTTCCTCTATCTAGTTTCAAAACTTTTTATTATCCTAGAAGAACACCCTAGGAATTACACAGTATGTAATTGGGGTCTAGTGTCTATCAACTTGGTGTAATGTTTTCAAGATTCATCCAAGTTGTATCTGTACTTCATTATTTTCTTGCCGAATAATTCTCAATTTTTATTTATTTTAGCTTCTTGTTGTTATAGGAGGCTTCCAACATTTATAAGTAGTGTGAAAAAAGTGAATCCCAAGTACCCATCACCCAGGTCCAACAGTTATCAGATCTCTGCCGTCACTGTTTTATCTGTGCTCCCACCTGTTATTTCAAAGTGAATTCTAATCATCACATAATTTCATCTCTATATAGCTCAGTAACCATGTGTAGTATGGAAAAGCTTCCAAAGATTCAGATGTACAGCCAGGCGCATTGGCGCACTACTGTAATCCCCCAGCGGCTTGGGAGGTTAAGGCAGGAGGATACTGACGTTCAAAGCCAACCTCAGCAAAAGTGAGGTACTAAGCAACTCAGTGAGACACTGTTAACACAAAACAGGGCTGGGGATGTGGCTCAGTGGTTGAGTGCCCCTGAGTTCAATCCCCAGAACCTACCCCCCACCACCCGCCCCAGAAAGATTCAGATGCACAATATTCAGTAAGAATCACTGAACAGACAGGCTTTACCTCATACACACAAGGGACGTCCATCTTTAACATCAGTTTTAAGAGTCTCTCCAGTGATTGATTTGAGGCCAGATTTGGTAACCACAGAGATAGAATGTTCATTGGTTACAAAGTCACCTAGATTGTCTGGTTCTTGGTAGATAATTTGCTTGTGCTTCTGTTTTATTGCCTTTCTATCATAAACCAAAACAGGATAGGAAACTGGGGATCCCAGCAGCCTTGATAGTTCCCCAGAAGAGAGTCAGCAAGGTTAGTGAGTTCTGGCCAATCCAGGTATAACGGACTTGGTGGGTCCAGTGTGCAGGGCTGGATATGGGAATTCTAGATGTGCTCTGAACCCTGGTTTCCCACCTCACCCCCAAATGCTACCTCTTACTGCAACCGTTACTGCTTTTGCAATGTTGCTATGTCCACAGTAGATGGCACCTTTGTTCCACCTAACTTTCAACTCTCCTAGGACGCTGATGTGGCTTCTACATGGACCTGGGATTTGGCAGTCCTGCTCACTGAAGGAGTTCCTGCAGAGACCCTCACTTGCCCTGCTTCTTCCTGCCTTCCCTGCAATAAAGTCATGCTGCTTTTGTTGGAGAAGTTGTCTCTTGCATTGTCTTGATGTTCTTTCTCATGTGCAGTCGTTGGTAGGCTTACTTACATGAAGTGTCCAGAGCTTCCTACTAGGAGTCTGGGACCCTGTGGATTCTGATTCTTTGCCATGTGATCTTTAGCAAGTCACTTCCTTTCTCTGGACCTCATTTGTAGAGGAAAGTTGTTGGACTAGGGGCTGGGGCTGTAGCTCAGTGGTAGAGCATTTACCTAGCATGTGTGAGGCACTGGGTTCGATCCTCAGCACCACATTAAAGTAAATAAATAAGTAAATGAAATAAAAGTATTGTGTCCATCTACAACTGAAAAAAAAAATTTTAAAAGATGTTGTACCAGATCAGTGATTTCCTTTCCTTTTTCTTTCTTTCTTTTTAAAAAATACTTTTAAATTCCATATTTTGAAAAACTAGTGGACCAAGTAAGTTGCAATTAAGAGATATCAAATGTTAAGGAGTCGGGATAATGGGAAGAGACTGTGGAAACAGGTTGCCTGGGGCAGAGCCCAAGTTTCAGTACCTTCCAGCTGGGCCATTTAACCTCAGTGTCTGCAGGTATAAAATGTGATAATAGCATCTATAGCAAATGATGGCTGTGGGGATTAAATGTGTTTTAGCCAGTTAGAAAACACTAAAAAAAAAAAAAATTCTCTCTTCACTAGTTTTGCATATTTCATTAATCCAAGATCTGTAGAAAAGACAGAATTCCAGATGTTAAAGTGAGATTGCAATAAATCACTGAGTCGATCTTCAAGCAGGAGATGGAAACTTTATTCACCAGCTGGTGGTCCGGATTCACCAGTTGGCAGGCCAAGGGGTAGGCTGTAAGTCTACATCCTTCGACCTCCTCCTGGGGTTTGAATATACCTTTTATAATCCAAAAACATATTAATTATAAGCGGCTATTGCTACAATTCAAAACCATAAACAAACAATCATGAGATCTAAAATCATAAGCAGAAAAGAGAGTGGGCCAAACTTCCCTAATTGAGTACAAGTTACAGAATGGTTACTAATGTCTAGACAATCAATCTCTGACAGGGTACATAGTCCAAAACAAATGGGATCCAAAGAGAGAACACTTTTACATTGTATAAGAATTGCCATTTTGTGTTGCCAAACATGCTATGCTAAGCAACTGTTGATGGGTACAGAGGCGGGGCTTTCCGTGGGAGAAGCATTTCTTACATGACCTGGAGTCTCGGGGCAAAATGGAGTCTGTCATTGCCCATATAGCCTCAGAGTTACTACCTTGCAGAGTTCTTGTTTCTTTTCATTCTTTCTTTTTGACCCTGAGGATTGAACCCAGGAACACTTTACCACTGAGCTATATCCCCAGTCCTTTTTAAATTTTCAGACAAGGTCTTACTCACTTGCTGATGAGTTACTTGTGATCCTCATGCCTTACCCTCCCAAGGTGCTGCGATTATAACAGTATTTGAACCAGCAGATTTCCATACTTTTTCTTCTTATATATAAAAATTATTGAGAAATTCAAAGAGCTTTTGTTTATATGAATAATGTCATATTAGAAATTGAAACAGAAATTTTTAAAACATGAATACCCAAGCACACATCCTGGTAGCCATCAGAACTAGATGAGGTCTAGGTCAATGCATGTTAGATGCTGGAAAAATGAAGTTGTAAAAGAAAAAAGCATCTCACAAAAATAGTAGGTTTTTACCTATCAAATTTTTACTTGGTATATTTTCTGAAAGGGTCTTGGAGACCACACATGGAAAATCATTGCTTTAACCATTTAGTGGGCACATACTGGGAGCCCAATGCTGCTGGACCTGGGATAAGACTCAACTTCACATTGGTCAGCTGTGACCTTGGACTAGTCACCCAATCTCTCCCAGAGGCAGTGTCTTCATTGCACAATACCTACTACCTGTACTTCAGGAAACTTGGTAGGCAGAAATAAGACCTCATTTTCACTCTTGAATTGATATGCTTGCACAATTTGGGGCGTGTTGCGTAAGTATTAAACAAGTCTCAGACCCATTTCTGCCTTTGTGGTCCCTTGGGGGCACAGGGACTTCACAGCTCTCATGGTGTCTAGGTTTCTTGGCCACCAGATGGCAGTGTTCTTTGAATTTGATTGTCCACCAAGAAGTTTCAGTGGGCCGTGGGAGGACAAACTTGAGGAATTTTTTTCTCCTGAACCCAGGAGACCTGGTTCAGGCTGGCTGGCCCACTGGGGACACCCAAGGCCTGAAACACTGGTGCCTCTTGCACTATTTTCTAGAGGGTCATTTTTCCCCCCACTCAGCAGCCAGCCTAGCTGAAATCCAAGTGTCCCTTAGTTCTGTTCTTCAAGGCTTCAGAGGGGTTGGGGAAGTGCCTGCATCTGCCAGCAGCTCAGCAGCAGTCCATGGAACCAATGAGAGCCCAGCAGAACCCAGGATTCTGCAGGGGAGGGGGGCAGGGAGCAGATGTGTCTGCAGATCACTCACATCCTCCAGCCCTGGCCAGGCCCACCCCTCCAGGCTTCCCCACTCCTCCCTGCAGCCAGTCTCCCCAGGTGTCCTGCATTACTTGTGCTGCCCCCTGTAAATGGAATGATCTCCCCCAGCTTCCCTGCCACCTCCCACTTTCCTCCCAACCTGCCCGCCCCACATCCGCAAATTCCTTTCCCTCTCCTACACAGCACAGCCTCCGGGAACCCTCTGCACAACTGGAAGTCATTTATGTATCCTCTTGGCCCTCAGCTTGAGTGTTGTGGCAAAGCTTTGTGTCCACGTGTCTTCCTGTCCTCAAGGATCTGGCCAAGCATTCACTCCCTCTATACACAGAACAGGCACTCGGGGTATTGATTTGATGCATGTGTAATGGCTCTGTTGGGGCCATTATTTGATGTGTCATGCCCTTGGATCTCATTCTAACCTCAGCTGGTCAAAACAAGACAATGGAGTAGGACAGTCCCAGATACCTGGTAGGTGCTCAGTAGGTGTCTGTTAATTGTAAGAACACCATCGGAGGCTGTAACTGTCCATTGTTCCTGTGTCTGATGGAGTGTCTTTGTTGACCTACCTATCCACCCTGAGGCCAAAGCCTTGTTCAATATCAGTATCACTCAACTGAAGAGAAGCCACTCTGCCCCTGAGGTGCTGAAGTTGAGCCCTGGGGCTGGACTCTTAGGAGGTTCCCTTCTCCATGGCAGCGGGATCCCCAGAGAAGCTCTGACTGGCCCAGCTCCCTCTTGGTGACACAAGCAAGCCTGACTTGGAAGATGTTATTTTTGGTACTGGGGATTGCTCAATCACTGAGCCACATCCTCAGCCCTTTTTAATATTTTATTTAGAGACAGGGTCTCACTGAATTGCTAAGTAGCCTCACTAAATGGCTGAAACTGGCTTTGAATTTGTATTTCACTTGCCTTAGCCTCCTGAGCTGCTGGGATTATAGGTGTGTGACACCATGCTGGGTTTCAAGAGTTTTTGTTGTTGTTTATACTGGGAATTGAACCCAGTGGTGCTTTACTGCTGAGCTGCATCCCCAGTCACTTTTATCTTTTTTATTTTGAGACAGGGTCTCCATAAATTGCTGAGGCTGGCTTCCAATTTATAATCCTCCTGAGTCAGCCTCCTAAATTGCTGGGATTACAAGCATGTGCCACCAAACTTGACTTTTCAGTGATTTTTGTTTTGTTTTAAAACAGCTTTTTTGAGGTGTAAATTCATTGGAACACTGGAAGTATTTAAAGTATGCAATTTTAAGATATAATGCATATCTTTTCAATTGCAAAACCTTCACCATAATCAAGATAGAGTAAATAAACTGGGTGTGGTGGTGCATGCCTGTAATCCCAGTGGCTTGGGAAGCTGAGGCAGGAGGATGGCAAATTCAAGGCCAGCCTCAGAAAGTTAAGGAGGACTTATGCAACTTAGCAGGACCCTGTCTCAAAATAAATAAAAAGGGTTAGGGATGTGGCTCAGTGATTAAGTGGCCCCCTGGGTTCAATCTCTAGTACAACAACAACAAAAAGATAGAGTACTGACCTATATCCACCTCAAAAATTTTCCCCATGTCTCCTAGCAAGTCTTCCTCCACTTTTCTCCAATCCCAAGTAACCACCGACCTGCTTTCTTTTCTTTTTACTAGAACTTAATAGTTATACATAGTAGTTGGGTTCACCCCAACAAACTCAAACAGGCATGGAAATCAATTTAAGCTTACGATCCCCCTTTTCCCTTCTGCCCCCATTCTCCTTCCTTACTAGATATTCCTTTTCTGGTCTATTAATTCATATTTGATTGGCTCTATTTTATTATTTACTGGTTCTTTTTAGTTGCACATGATGATAGAATCCATTTTGGTATAATTATACAAGCAGGGAATATATCTTATTCTAGTTAGGACCCCATTCTTGTCGATGTATGTGGTGGTGGGATTCACTGTAAAGTTTTCACATACGTACATAGGAAGATTATGTCAGATTCATTCCACTACATTTCCTTTTCCTATCCCCCCTCCTCTGTTCCCTTTATTCCCTATTGTCTAATCTATTGAACTTCTATTCTCCCCTGATTTGTGGGTTAGCATTCATATATCAGAGAGAACATTTAACCTCTGGCTTTTGGGGACTGGCTTATTTCACTTAGCATGATAATCTCCAGATCCATTCATTTTCAGTGAATATCATAAAGTCATTCTTCTTTATGGATGAGTAATATTCCATTGTGTATATATACCACAATTTATTTGTCTATTTATCTGTTGAAGGGCACCTTGGTTGGTTCCATGGCTTGGCTATTATGAATTGAGCTGTTATAAACATTGATGTGGCTGTATCACTATAGTATGCTGATTTTAAATCCTTTGGGTATATACCAAGGAGTGGGATAACTGGGTCAAATGGTAGTTCCATTCCTAGTTTTTGAGGAATCTCCCATACTGCTTTCCATAATGGTTGTACCAATTTGCAGTCTCACCAGCAATGTATGAAAATACCTTTTTCCCCACATCTTCACCAACATTTATTGTTAC